TTAAGTGTTCCCAACAAAAAGAAATGATAAATGTCTGAGATGATTGATATGCTAATTACCCTGATCTGATCATTATACATTATATGTATCAAAACACCATTGTGTATGCTATAAATATGTACAATTGTTATGTGTCAATTTTTAAATAGAAAATTTTAAAAAATAGGAAAAAATTACAAACAAAGACATACCTAACATTTAGTGAGTGCCTGCTATGTATCTCAGTGCACTATTCTAGGCACTGAGAATACAACAGTGACCAACACAAAGTCTCTGCCCTCGGGGAGTTTATATTCTAAGACTCAACAATTAAACAGATAAATTTACTATATTCAGACAGTACAGATGTTACTGAAGGAAAATAAAACAGGATAAGGAAATATATAAAAAGTGTGTGGAAGTTTTTTTTCAATAGAGTGTTCAGGGAAGGCCTCTTGAGGCCTATCACCTAGAAGTAGATAATCGAAAAAGTCTTGACAAGGCCAGGCGCGGTGGCTCACGCCTGTAATCCTAGCTCTCTGGGAGGCCGAGGCGGGCGGATTGTTTGAGCTCAGGAGTTCCAGACCAGCCTGAGCAAGAGCGAGACCCCGTCTCTAATAAAAATAGAAAGAAATTAATCGGACAACTAAAAATATATAGAAAAAATTAGCTGGGCATGGTGGCGCATGCCTGTAGTCCCAGCTACTTGGGAGGCCGAGGCAGTAGGATTGCTTGAGCCCAGGAGTTTGAGGTCGCTGTGAGCTAGGCTGATGCCACGGCACTAGAGCCAGGGAAACACAGTGAGACTCCGTCTCAAAAAAAAAAAAAAAAAAAAAAAAAGTCTTGACAAGATTTGGGAAAAGGATTTCAGGCAGAAGAAAAGCTGACACAAAGGTCTGAAGATGGGGGCAAGCTTGCAATGTCCTACAAACAAGTATAACTTTTAGAGACAGGGTCTCACTATGTTAACCAGGCTGGCCTCAAACTCCTGTGCTCAAGAGGAAGCGATCCTCCCACCTCAGCCTCCCGAGTAGCTGGGATCATAAACGCACATTACCACAGCCAGCTTAAGTATAACTTTTTTTTGTAGGCAATGGCCTATATGTAGAACCATCTCAGCTATAGTGTAAGAAATCTGAATTTTATTCCAAAAGTAATAGTAACCCACTGGAAAGTTTAGAGAAAGAAGGTAAAATGATGTGATTTTCATTTTTAAAATATAGCTGAGTGTTGGGGAGATGATAGACTCTAGGGCAAAACTTCTCAACTGATGTGTACTAAAAACAGTTAATAGGTGGGCCATAAAATAATGTTTACAATCTTTCTCTTGGTAATAATCCAATTCAATCATCCCACCAGTTTATCATTACATTTCCCAACAGTTTATCATCAATGAAGCTTTTGTTTTACATGTATACATGTAAAATGTTTACATTTTTCCCAAATTTTTACTTTTTTACCAGCATACGGCTGTTGCAATCACTATTATCACCTGATATTAGGGGTTTCTAAAGAGAAAACATTCAACCGTGCATTTTTTCTGATAGCTGCTTTATGGATTGCCTGTTACATATTAGCTTTTGATGTTAACAATGAAAAATTCTTGACAAAAATTTAAAATGAATAATTTGTGCACAGAAAAAACACATAAACATTATTTCTATATTATTTACTTTTAGAAATAAGTGTCTCATGGACACAAATTATTCATTTTGAATTTAAACAAATTCATTAAAGGGGCTACATGTTATAAGGTTCAAAAACCCATTTTCAAAATACTTATTTTATACGTGTAAAATAAATAATTCTGTCAATTATTAAGTTAAAATGTAAATAAACGTTTCAATACTTTCTCTTAGTACAAGTTTTTCTTTCTAATTTGTTTGATGATTTGCTTTAATTCATTCTTAAGAATTCATATAAGATACCTTTTAAACAATGACTTAACTGCTACCACCACTGGGGCCTGAAGACTGGCTCAGCTGGCATCCAAGTTCCCAGCAAAACTTTACCAGTCTCAACTAATAACCATACCTAAGCCACCAAGGAAATCACAGATACCACTGACCCATGTACTTCTGAAGAAATCATATAAAGGTTACACTACTGCTGCACCCAAAATCAAATCCAAAGTGTCCTACTCAACCAACAACACATATACATCTTCAGGGAAAAAATTCTTCCCTATGAAACCAATTTCAAAAAACCGGAAGTGAATGCTACACCAGATGTGCAGATACCAACAGAAGGAAAGAGGAAACTTGAAAACGCAAGGAACTGTGACACCACCAAAGGACCACAACAATTGCCCAGCAGCAGATTGGAATCAAAAAGAACTCTTCGAAATGCCAGACAAAGAATTCAAACTACTGATATTTTAAAAGTTTATATGAGATGCAAGAGAAATCTGGAAACCAATACAAAGAAATCAGAAGATCAATTCAAGATATGAATAAAAAATGTATCAAGGATAGATATCTTAAAAAAAAAAACAAAAACAGAAATTCTGGAACTGAAAAACTCATTAAAGGAAATGCAAAATATTTTTGAAAGCTTCAATAATAGACTAGACCAGACAAAAGAATGAACCTCAGAACTTCAAGACAGGTCATTTCAAATAATCCAATCAGACAAAAATAAGGAAAAAATAACAAAAAAGGATGAAAAAAGCCTTTGAGACATCTGAAACTACAGAAAGCAACCAAATTTAAGAATTCCATCAGTATTTCCGAGGGGGAAGAGAGCTCAAAAAGGGTATTTAGAATTAAGGGAGAAGAGAAATGGGAACATAAACATATACAGTTGACCCTTGAACAACACAGGTTTGAACTGCACAGGCCCACTTACACACTGATTGTCTTCCACCTCTGCCACCCCTGAGATAGCAAGACCAACCCCTCCTCTTCCTTTTCCTCCTCCTCTTCAGCTTACTCAATGTGAAGACAATGAGGCTGAAGACCCTTTATGATGATCCATTTCCACTTAAGGAATAGTAAATATATTTTCTCTTCCCCGTGATTTTAGTAAAATTTTCTTTTCTCTAGCTTACTTTATCGTAAGAATACAGTATATAATACATATAATATACAAAATATGTGCTAATCAACTGTTAATCAGCAAGGCTTCTGCTCAACAATCAGCTATTAGTAGGTAAGTTTGGGGGAAGTCCAAATGTATACACAGATTTCGAATGCACAGGGAGTCAGTGCCTCTAACCCCAACATTGTTCAAGATTCAAGCATAGTAGATAGCCAGAGGAAAAGTAGCAAGGGAATCTGAGATAAAGTATAGCAAATACTTGGAAAATATCTTTTAAAAAGGAGGACATGAGTCAACAGAGTAAAATTCTAGTAGGAGGTGGTATTCAATACTTAGGTCACTGGTGACTTTGGTGGGAATAGTTTTAGTGGAGAGAAAGGGCCAGACTACAGTGGATTTGACTAGAAATTGAATAGAAAGTGAGTTAGTGGAGACAATTTTTTCAAAAGCATAGTTGTAAAAGGAAAAAGAGAAGAAACTAGACGGAAAGGGTGAGGTCAAGGGTAAGGGTTTTGTTTTGTTGTTTGTTTTAAGATGGAAGGGGAAAGAGTATTCTTAAATGCCAAATGAAAAGAGCTAGAACTGAAGGAAGGTTCAAGAGAAACATTCATTCATAAAAGAAAATCAATGATTACTGTTAAAAAAATTCTCTAAATTTTGGAAGACTAACAATTTGAACAAAAACAAAACACTGTTACATTCTTAAAGAAATTCAGAAAGCATCTACATCTTGAAGACATCCTAATTTTTTTGTTATAATACTATTCAACAAGGCAAGCAAATAGGTAAAACGGAATTTGCATTCAGTGACATTTTACTTTCATTAAAATTCCCATTCTATTTAACATTCTATTTACCAACTCTGTGTATTGCTCAAGTTTCAGAAATAACATTACAAGCTATTACAATGTCAGTAATATCCCAATTCATTTTTTAAAATGAATGAAGGTACTAGAATAACAAATGATTAGAACTTTCAAGCTTGGGCAATTTCTATGGAGGAACGATGTTACCACTAACAAAAACTGGGGTTGCTAAAAATGCTGGATATTTCACAGTTGACATTCATAGTAACTAAAGTTGTAATTTCTAATAAACATTTATTAGAAGTCATGGGAATGACTTTTTGAAATTAAATTTGCCAATGCTAATTTAATTGAATACTCGAATTTAATTGTTGGAATACTCCCTTCTGCAAATAAACAGGCTAAATTAATCTATTTTTGTTATATCAATTTATGCCAATATGTTTAATAAATATATAAGCTGCATGAAATAATTTACTCAGCAGATATTTTGTGAAAATCTCCCTGTGCCAGGTACTCTTCAGTGCTGAGGACACAAAGGTGCATAAGGCAGAAAAGGTCTCTTCCATTGTGGAACTTACATTCTGGCTAGGGAACACTTACAATAAAGATATCAAAATTAGAAAATGTCAAGGAACAATAAGTGCTATCAAGAAAATAAAACGGCTTAGAGAGCAAATGCAAGCAGGTGATGGCTACTCTTTAGAGAAGGATTCTCTAAAGAGAGAACACTTGGGTTGAGATTTGAATGAAGAAAAAAAGCCAATCGTGCTACAATCATTCCAGATGATAGAAACAGCTAGTAAATGTCATTATGGAACTTTAAGTTATGGCTAAACATTTCTGTTCAGCAAAAGTCAACCCATTTCAAACTGGTATCAACTTTAATAACAATGTATGGACATGCAACAATATTGATTTTGAAGTGACCTAAAAAATAATTATTAATGTTGCAGGATAGGCAATATTCACTTTAAGATATAACCATAAAGTATTAATGGACGAAAAGGCTTTTTATTAAATATTTCACAGATGCTGAAAAGTTCACACTATATGTTACTTAATAGCAATTCATCGATATACACGTCATAGATGCAGAGCCATATGGCTCTTTCTCTTAAGTAAAGCGATAACATTTCTATACTGGATAAGCAATAAATACAAAGAGAATCTTACTTTTAGCAAATATGTCAACTGGTGATCCATCAGGCAAAAGCCATGGCCAACCTTTGAACTGCCATGCAGGACCCTGCACAAAAACTGCTACAACCCGGTCCCTACAAGTAGAAAAAGGGATGGTGAGGGAGAGAGGGAGAATATTCCAAACTTTAGTTTTAAGTTCCTATAAATCCACAAGGAAAGAGTTTCATAATTATCCACGTGATATAATCTCCTACTGATCCTTTTGTGAGACAAAAATAATAAGAACATGACTGACTTTTCAAGGTGATGTTGCCATTACAGCACATTAATGACTGCTACACTCCCCACGCACCTACACCTACGTCACCTAGTATGTTCAAACATAATTATATAGACAATACTTCTGTGTAATCTTTTTAGCCTTTTCTCTTCCTTTCTATTAGAGTAGGGGCCCGCTTTGCCAATGCAATAGGAGCAGTATTTGATCTATTAATCAAAACAGTTTGGTTTTTTAAAAAAATCATTTAAAATTCAAAAAACATCTTAAATATTTTACTTAATTAAAAACATGACATTACAGTAACTCAACAACCACTTTATGAAGCCCCAAGGCCTTATGTTAGAGTTCTTCTGACTACCTGGGAAGTAAACTGAGGACAGAAACCCACCATCTAGACTGTAGTAATTTTCCAACTGTTTCACTCACTCTAAATTCTTTAAGATTTTTTTTTTTTTTTATTTCAGCATAAGATTTTTTTTTAAAGCACTTGTTTTTCTAGCCACTCAACTTTAAGTTTTCCTGGAAAGAACAAATCTCTCTGTAGGCCCTCATATTTCATTATTTTACATAGTTTTTAATTAAATTGAGAAGCGATAGTACTTTAAGTTATAGTACTTTAAGTTATAACTTGAAGTTATAGTACTTTATAGTTTAAGCCTATAAAGAGGTGGGAACAAAACAATAACGTGAACAATGATTATTAATATTAGTAATATGTTCTATGAGCATTTACTATGTGCTAGTGCTATTTTTAAGCACTTTACACATTACTTACAATGTTAACACATTTAATCTTCAAAACAATTCAGTGAGGTAAATACTATTACTATCCTCATTTTACAGATGAGAAAATAGAAGTGAAAGGGCATACTAGACAACAAAACAGGAAGGGAGGAAGGAATAAGAGGAGGAAAAAGGAGGAAAGGAGGAAGGAAGGGAGGGAGGGAAGAAAAGAGAAGAATAAATTATTAATCTTGGCACTGTGTATGCTACTATTTCTACTTGAGGATGGATAAATCATGAGAATAGCCATCTTAAGTATTACTATGAAGATAGTTTTGACCTTGCAACTCTGTGGAAGGATCTTGGGAAGGCCCAGGTCAGCAGACCACACTTTGACCACATCTGCGTTAGATGAACACTCTATACATCCAACAAAACATTAAACCAGGCTTACCTTCTATTCAAGTGAAAGACCTACAGCAGCTATCAAAACTTCTGTGAAAAATGGCAAGCTTAAAATTCTTAACCTGCTCAAAATCTCTGAGGCTAAAATTAAATCTTAAGTAAAAAATTTCCCCCTTTCATGGGATACATGCCCCAAAATTGTCAAAATCACCTTTGGTAACAGAGCATACTATTAAATAATCCCTCAGTTTTATGATGTAACTTGTGTCACACAACAGTTAAAAGCCCAAGGTGCCTGCCAAACTAAAGGGAATTTGCTAGACAGAAGTCACCCAGATCCTATTAGGTCCCATAGGATAACAGGGGAGGAGAACATAAATACTACTCCCCATGAATTCTTTAAAGGACCATTAAAGGAAAAGAAAAGGAGGAGGTAGGGGAAATGTTATTCCTAGGCTATGACATCAAGGGTTGGAGACCCCAGCTAATATAGACAAGAGGTATTTTAAACCATGGTGATGGCACTTATACACACTGTCTGTATTATCATTTTCTACAAATAACGGCAAACATATAATATTAATACAAATGGTGTAACTTTCCTACTTGGTTTTAAGCTTGATATCTGAAATTCTCATCTTGCTCACTTTATATATTACTCAAAGTATGTGCTGGGAACCAGGAGAAAATTGTAATAAAAGAATCCTTTATTTTTTAGTAAATTTTTAACATACTATCAATGACTTGACTTCCTAATGTCTGATAACTAACCAATACACAAAGGTAAGTTTCATCTAATGTGTCATGTGTTGCTTTCTCTGTATCACAGATACATACTTTCACACTGTGAATTTTTATTCCACCTTAGATTAATGAATAATTTAAAAAGTTATATATCTGAATTTATAGGCACTTTAAAGAGCTTAATATTTTGTTAAAGAATATTTTAATGCAATAAAAGAGCTAAACCATGACAAAAGAGCTTATCAAGTTATTTTTCTTAAATTATTCCCTTACAATGAAAGTAACTATCTATGCCCTCACTTATCATTTCTTATCAGAAAATTTGAATTCTCCAAACCAAAAATCTAAAATACAGGACCTTAAAACGTTAGTCTAATTTGTTGCGTTCTAAAACCTGATACAAAACAAATGAACAAGCAGAAAGGATTTTTTTTGCATGTATGTTTTCCAGAAGTTAGAGTGTTTCTTCTCATAAGATAAAGTTTACCTACTCGAAATAAAAGGTTATTTAGGTGTTACTAGAACGTTAACATTATTGATGACCAAATTAGATCTATATACATTAACCCAGTTTTCAAGGATAGTTTCTATTTACAATCCATGATAAAAATTAATGAATATTTTAAAAATACAGAGTATCTTACCAGTCTTGAGGCATAAGTTTAAGGGGCTGGTCCACTACTCTATAAGGTACTGTGACACTAATTGCTGTGCCCCCTGGTTGCATCTGGTCTTTTCTTCTCTGTATTAGAGTTTCATTTTCTCGTTGACAACCTTGTTTCTTTTTTTCATCTGATGGGACAAATCTTTGAAAAACAGATGAGAAAAAGTCAAATGTATTCAATGTGATGAAAATGGTAAAATAAATTATATTTTGAAATAATTTTTAAACCTTGTTTTAAACTAAAGACATTTATTTTTAAAGAAACCTACTCTGCATATACACACCACAGTGCTCAAAGAGTATGGGTCTCTCCCGCTGCATGCCAAACAGAACTCAAGCTCGCTTAGACTCTAAATTGGAGTGTCTGTATGTGTGTGTGCACATGCGTGTAAACATACAATTTATATTCCTTCAACTAACACTTCGCATTCTCCACACTGATCCTTAATTTCTCCAATGCTATTACAAGGAAACTGTATGACAAAGGGAAACTTTATTAAAAATCAAAAGGTCACTTGAAATGAAAATATCGTTATGGCTACTAGGCTTCTTCACTGGGTGACTTAGCCAATTCAGGAGCTTCACCAAACACACTTTTTCACATTTCATGCTTCAGGAAAATTACAAAAATGCCATCAAACTTCAAAGTTGCTTTGAAAATTTTAAAGTAGGAAAATTAAATCAGTGTATGCCAATAGTCTGTTTTAGTAAATACCACTAGTATTATCAACTGGCAGTATTTTTCAACTCTACTTATATGATTCAAATTCTTAAAACAGATAGTCTCAAAAATAATTTAGCAATCTGGAGAGCTATTGCCAGCTCTATAATTCGCCAGTGTTCACAAAGCACTTTAAAACAGTCTCATTTTCTAAATATACATAATCCTAATAGTCTATTAGCATATTTTATTAGCTATGGGCTAGTCCCTCCAAGTAAATGGGGCAATACAATCACTGCATCGACAGTATCGTTATGCTTCTCAAGTTTAGGAGAAATGAAAGGGTTAAGGCAAAGATGATGCAGGAGAGCCTGCGCATGGCAGAGTTCCCTGAAAAATTTCAATACCACATATTAGATTCATCAGATAGTGATACTAATTTTATAGTTTTTAAAGTTTTTAGTACATGGTGATCATGTTAATAC